TGGTATATCTCACCCATCTTGCTATTGACCTAAATGCAAGCTTATATATGTAATTCACATGCATAACAATTATAACCACTTCAAAATTCTTCAACAACTTGCGCTGCTTCCTTAATGGTGAATTTAAAATAATTTTTTGCCTTATATTCAACAGGTATTGAATTCAAACAGTAACTTTTAAAAAGTGCTAGCATCTTATTTCCTAAAATAAAATTGGACTTGTTAATTGTGTTATATTTGTAAAAAAAGAAGAAGTTAATTTCTTTGAAAGTTAAAGGGTGGAGAGAGAGAGAGAGAGGGAGACTCATTAGGTTATTATAGGGTCATCTCTATTTGAATTAATACTCCAACTGAATTAATGAAAGTTAATTAGTACAGGATGATGATGAAAGTACGGTGGATAAGTATATCCTATATATATGGGACCTCTGCAAGGAAGCAAAACTGGATTCTTGTGTATTATGTTTTGGGTACTGTCAAGGTTTTCTTTCTACTTGGAGTTGCATTTTGGGATAACAAGGACACAGATGGGGTCCATGGTGCAGTACCATACAATATAGGCTAATTAATATTGATCCTCCAAAACTATAATTGCAATTATTATTATTTTTGGGGTACTATTCTTTTCACCAATTTGCTAAAGACAACCTTGTATATTATTTAAGGAATGTGGCTATATAGTATAATCTCTCTAACACGTTAATTAGCAGCGTATATCAACTCCTAAAATAAATGGGAGGCAGAGAATAGTGGAAATTAATCTATTTAACTTGACCAACATAATACTATAATTAATTATGCCTTCTTCCTGTTTTTCCAAACTTTCTCGTCGTATGTGGGATTATTAAAATCTTGAAAAAGAATCCATTAGTCTTTTCTTATAAAGAAGAAAAATTAAAATTATGTGGTCAAAAGTAAGAATAAACTAATTACACATGTCTAATTTCATAAGTGTGTTTATAACTTCACACAAAACATTTTGGAATTAGGTGGTTCTCTACATTTCTCAATTAAACTTAGGTAAAATCTCCTACACAATTATATATATGATGAATTATAAATCCGAAAATTAGTTTGCAGACTAGCATTGTTCTAATCTTTTTGGGATTATGAATGCTAACTATTTATATATTTCGTTTGATAGTGGCCGAGAATATTCCAGAGAAGACAAGGTGATAAAGTAAACATCTTTTCCGCAAGGATATATACTTAAATAAGCACATATACCGTCCAAAAGAAACACTGAAAGTTTTGTGGCTGTAGAAAATGATCTATACGGATAAACAAAGAGACAAATAAGATCTAACACTTGCTGGAGAATCTTGGGTGAAGATATCCGTGAGATACAACATAAAAATGGGATCAAGTCAATCATCCACATCTTAAAACTTTTTGTTATGGAATAAAAAATAACATTTTTGCTTCTTTTACTTTCGGAGAAATCTATAATATATTTGTTTCCTAAAGTTAATTATTGCTCATATGAAAAATTAGAATTTAAAGGTGAGAGAGAGAGAGAGAGAGAGAGAGATAGAAACAAAAAAGGGATTATTCTTTGCTCATGTTGAGCCTGTCTCCGCCCATGAACTTATTTCAGAGACTGAGATGTGAAAGCAGCTTATAACACAAAAATTGGATGGCTTAGGGTTATTATAATCTGTCAAGCCAATCCACATATGCAGCAATTATAACTCTTATTTTAATTTTTTAATTTTTTTTTGAATTATTTTCCATAAAAATTATACTTTTTGCACTGACTTTATTGTAAACCATTCATTTACAATATATATAAAAAACTATCGCTTTGCTTATTTCAAATGATTACATTATATAAGATAACGTAAATTCCCTTTCTCAATGCCAATATGATGGTAGTTATGCGTGCCTTGTCTTCCATAAAACATGATTCTCATTAATTTAGAATTTTTTTCCACCAAAAATGTTCAAGAAAATGGAAAAGAAAAGACATTACTATAGAGAAAAGAGGAGCATACATATATGCATGATTATACTAAATGGTGGTAGCTTAGTTGGCGCATGAGAGCTAAGCAGGTGAAGTGAGAGTATGTGTTCGAATCTTTTCAGTATCATCTTTTGGAAGAGTTTAAAACCTTAATTCTGGACCCGCCCCAATTCGAATTAGTTGCGAAGCAATGAATCGATTGAAATATTTCAAAAAAAAAAAATGCATAATTATTTTGTGATCCACATCACAGTCTAATCAGGGTCATTGTGGTGAAAAAGCATGGACTCTGTGGGATAATTAAATAAACGGCCAGTGAGTGAGCTGAGCTACATGTACCAAAACAATCCCCATACACTATAGTCTAAAATTTTTTAGGTGTATGTTGATTATGATGCAAGACGTGGTTTGGGTTACATCTACTAGGGTTTTTCACATTCTACTAGCTCTACCTGGTGTCAGGTCATGGGCTGTAGCAAATGACTCCAAATGGGACCCCTAGGTCGCTCATGGAACCAGCATCTGGACCCCACTCATCATATATAGTGCATGTGTTTGCAGCACCCATCGATTTTGATTGGATCACTGGGTCATTATAGGAAATGACCATTTTTTGTCTTCATGCTTCCTCTGCGCATGTGGCTGGCTACCTACATCACCTTAACCCTCGTACCCATCTTTAGGTCAAAGACAGTTTTTATTTCTTTCACATTCAATTTTGCATTATGTGTGGAGGCAAGTTTATATACATAAAAAATTCCAGTTACACAATTATCACGTAATTCAATATCACAATTATAGCATCTAATAATTTCATTGTAATTTACAAATCAATCTCACAAGATTTTGAAATCTGAGTTAATATATCAACTTTTGAAGCCATTAGAATCGGTACAGTGACGAAGGATTTGGATAATTTATATTAAGTTATATGTTCAATTTTTATTATTGTATTCAAAAAAAAATATGAACTTTTGTCCAAAAACTAAATTAAAATAGTGAAATGTACTTCTCCTTTATAGTTGTAATTTTAAACATTATTTTTTTTCCTCTCCTCGTAAGGCTATCGGCTGATATGGCAAAAGAAGAAAAAATAATTTTAACTTTAATATTACAACTATGTACTATCTCTAGTGCATAATTGTAATTGATTGCATGAGAGAAAATTTGTTGATGCAACATGAGAAGTTGAAGACCCATTAAAATAATATATCAACTGGTTATAAATACTAGCAAAAGTAGTTTTTTGCTCATAATGACAACATAATTGTAAAGCATTTTCTTGAACCCTTACGTTTTTGAGAGAATTTTAAATTTTAAATTTGTAGAAGCCCTATATATAGGCAGTTAATAGAGTTTCTAATTATATACATTGAATTTCACAACTCTAATCTCTTGTGACTACAATTAACCAGTAACATTATGTTGACCTGAAGAAGGTAAATGGTTCAATTCTTGAAAATTAATTTTTGATTATCAATTAATGAACGATCATCAATGTTATATTAATCATTTTTGTATGCGAAAAAATAAATACTTTTCCATTTTTCTTAGAAATGTGCTGAATGATTATTTGATCAATACGATTTGAATCCCAAGTATGTCTTAAATAAGAAATATCAAAATACAATAAATTATATTAGTATTTTCTAGCTCAAGCTAGCCCATTTAGTACTAAAAGTGAACTTGGATTATTTTATTCCGAATATAGTAAGGAGTATTTAAATTAGTATAAGTGGAATATATACTTTTATAGTAACATATATATAAAGTACTATAGCCTATAGAGATGAAAAAGAAATGCAATAAATAATTCCCGCGCGTGTGCCAAAACCGATATGGTATATGTCTTTATTGAATCCTATTCATCGTTTAATTTTTCATCGCGATGAAAAAAATTAATTAGGATAACTCTAACATGGTATGTCCCATGCATCTCTCGTTTCCATTGTAGTTTTTCATATTACTATACTTCAATCCATATCAACATCTAATTTATTGATAAAAAAAATGCACGGAAAGGATGATAGAACAAAGAAATTATGTGATTTTTCCTTTTAATTTTTTTTTGGAATAATATGTTTTCTTATCTTTCAATGTAAAATCAGTGAAGTTTAATTTTTTTATTTATTTCTCCTTGCTTGTATATACAAAACATTGAAATCGGAATAAACTTAAAATATGTACAATACATTATGGGTTTAGTGTATGTCCTTTTAAAGCAGATAAATTGTAACATTTTAATTTTGTACTCTATGTACTTCCGAAAGTACATAATTATAATATAAAAAATTACTTTTTTTTTATTTTTCACGTCAGCTGATGTAACTGAGGAGAGAGAACAAAAAATAATTTTTTATATTATAACTATATACTACCAAAAATACATAAATTAAAAAGACACAACTTACATCTTTTTAAAGCACAAATAATTTTTCCACACATTATATCATAAATTCATTATGATAAGCCATGCCATGACTTATAATGATGTATTCTTGAAAATGGGTTTATGGCAAGGGTCCCACTGGTTTAGCATGTAATTTTCTTGTTATTACACTGGTGTTGATGGTGTTATTTGCGCAACAAAAAGCAAAAGAGGGGATTAAAAATCTTATCTCCACTGTCACACCTCACACTTATCCTTTTTCTTTGCAACACAAACCAAACCACAATTAAAATCACGATCGGTGGAATTTTTCTTTTTTTTAAAATTATGAAATGGCACTGTCCTGGATGGCCCCACCACCCACGTTTCAAGCCCTATATGATTTGGAATCCCACGTGTCAACCTCTCAACGGCCAGAATTCCAGTTAACGTCATCATCAGGTACCCACCTCCTCCCCATGCACCCGCAGCCACGTCATTGCTATTTAGTTCTGAAAAGACTAATCAACCCCTGAATCTCTAACATGTCTGGAGACTATTGGAGTTACAAATGAAGTTGCTTGTACGTGATAATTTCCTCCACGCCCGTACCCATATAAAATATGGGCTTCACCCTTTGTGGGGTAACACAAATTACAGAACTTAACATGTTCTTCTGTGAAAACCAAGGCCATATATAACAAAAACTCGAACCCATCTCAGTGAAAGAAAGAAAGAAAGAAAGAAAAAGCTCTGTAACCATGGAGAGCACAGACTCATCCACCGGTTCACAACAACCGAACCTGCCACCTGGTTTCCGGTTCCACCCAACCGATGAGGAGCTCGTGGTTCACTACCTTAAGAAAAAAGCTGCATCAGCTCCTCTCCCAGTAGCCATCATCGCCGAGGTTGATCTCTACAAGTTTGATCCATGGGAGTTACCAGGTACGTCCAATTTCACAAAAGGAATACAAAGTTTCAAACTTTACGTTCGAAAGGGAAATGGGTCTGGTTCGGTTTGTTTTTATCTTTTGTTTTTTGTTTTTGTTATTGATTTTTTGTCTTTTGTTTGTAACTTTTTTTTTTACCGTTTGGTTTTGCAGCTAAGGCAACGTTTGGGGAACAGGAATGGTACTTCTTTAGTCCTAGGGATAGGAAGTATCCCAATGGTGCTAGGCCAAACAGGGCTGCAACTTCTGGGTATTGGAAAGCAACTGGTACTGATAAGCCTGTGTTAACCTCTGGTGGAACACAAAAGGTTGGGGTGAAGAAAGCTTTGGTTTTCTATGGAGGGAAGCCTCCAAGAGGGATCAAAACCAATTGGATCATGCATGAGTATAGGCTTGCTGATAACAAGCCTAATAATAGGCCTCCTGGTTGTGACTTGGGCAACAAGAAAAACTCTCTAAGGGTAACCTCTAAACTCTTTATTTTTTGGTATAAAAATTTGGTTTGTTATTTTATTTTATTTTGGTGAGTTAGTAAAAAAAAAAATTGATTTGTTCTGTTTCCATGAGCGACCCTTTGGGTTTCTGAATTTGTGCTTTGGATTTTTGTGTTGTTGGTGTGTGTAGCTTGATGATTGGGTGCTGTGCCGAATCTACAAGAAGAATAACACACATAGGTCCCCTATGGAACATGAGAGGGAAGATTCAATGGATGATATGATTGGAGGGATTCCTCCTTCCCTCAACGTTGGCCAAATGAATGCGAGGTTTCATCTTTCAAAGATTTCAACAAGCTACAACAACAACAACAATAACAGTGCATTGTTGGAGAATGACCAGAACTTATTGGAAGGAATGATGATAAGTAGTAACGGTGGGATCAGCACAACTCAGTTGGGAGCCTCAAATCCCAAGACAGAGCTTCCTTTTGTTCCAACCATGACTGCTTCTTCAAACACCAATTCGGCATCCAAAAGAACTCTCTCATCACTGTATTGGAATGATGAGGATGTTGCAGGCACCTCATCATCCAACAAACGGTTCAATTTGGACAGTGGAGATCATGGGAGTGTTGTGAGGACAGAAGAGAATGGCACTGCTAACTCTATTGCCACTCTGCTTAACCAACTCCCTCAAAACACTTCATTGCACCAACAAACAATGCTGGGATCAATAGGTGATGGACTAATTCGGACACCATATCAAATATCAGGAATGAATTGGTATGCTTAAGCTCAATTTCAGGTTAATTTATAGGTGGGGGTTATAAGATGATTTATATTATTGATGCACAAGGAGATATTGAACTATGAAGGAGTCTTCAGCTGGTGATACCTTACAATACACTCTCTCGATCCTTCCAATTAGATTGTAAAGATTTTAATGGGCTATTGAGATTTTGGTTGTTAGGAATTTGGAAGCAAGTTAGAATTTTTAATCAATTAGATGGCCTCAAACTTCTTCAGCCATTGGAGGGAGCTGCGGCCTGTAGACAATAACAACACAAAAAGGTGAGGCCATGGATATTTTCATTTCAACTTAAATATAGCTTTATACATATATATAGATATTTGCTTGTTTTATTGGTATGTAATAAAAAATTATGGGGCTCTTCATGTACAAATACTCAGAAGAGAAAAAAAAGAAGTTCATAAAAAATAATCAGTTATTATATACCTTGATTTAGGATACAAGAGAACCTTGTATAGATAATATACTGTAGGAAACGATCTATAATGTATTGCTATCTCATGAGCTTGGTATTGAGTTAATTTTCATTGGTTTTAATTATCATTAAATTACTATGCTCTTGAAGGTTAAGTCAGCACAATAGTAACGAGATTTTAGTTTGTTTAATTATAATGTATGGTAACCAATTCTCTGTCACGTGTCTGCATGTAACCTAGTTAGAAGGTTATTAGTCTTATTCATATGCTTATCCTTTTGCCCAGTATCATACCCGATTAATCTGAATGAGTTGGAACATGTGTGTCAGTTCATAAACACATATAAAGTATGCGATATTAATTTGTTTGTTATGAAATGGTTTTCATCACTTCCTATACACCAATTCGGTTTAAGAATTTTATTCCAACTGATCTTGTGCTCATCTTTGAAAACGAAATTTTTTCTCATATTTAACTTGTATTCTATATCTGATCATATGAAATTTGTTTAAAAAATTATTTTTGTATTAATTGAAAAATAATAATTATAAAAAAATTAATTATTAGTATAATTAAATTATAAATAAATATGCTAATCATATCCCTTCAAGTATTATTTAATATATTATGTTATTACTAGAGAAAATGCTATATTGGGAGCTATGCTTTATGTCTTAGTAGATGTTGATGCATCGCCTATAAGATTGAATAAATTACGCTTGTCACATTCTTCTAATCTTAATGTTATTTAAGTTTTTTGGATTGTGATGCCATGATTCCATGATTATCAGGGGCTAGTTTTCATACTGTCTATTTTGTTTCCCATATTTTCTCCCTTCTAAAAATGGCAATGGCTCGTACAGTCCCATATCTCAGGATAATTTACCCTTTCTTTTTTTCACTACTCATCCAATACATATAAATTCACACAGATAATTCAAGTATGCCTCATCTGTAGAAAGTCTGACACATTTTTCCTACCTAATCATAATCAATTTGACATGCGCGCATCAAAATTTTAGATGGTGTATTGTCAGAAAATATCAAAATAATTTCATGAGAATTCGAGAGTAACAACCAGATTATAGTAGAAAGAGAATCATGAAATTTTTTTAACTTCAATTATTATTGACCCTAGAAGAGAAAAAGTGACACAATAGGGTACGTCAAGAAGAGATCACAGGACATAAACAGCGTGTCACATATTAGCTTGAAGGATATATTCAAGTTGCAAAACAAACAATTTCACATCAGCAAACGAATCACTGAAAACTTTCTTTGGATCCATCTCTTTCCTGACAGATACCCAGATAGCTGTACTTACAATTTTGTCAAACATGCTCTTCAATGCAGGATTTTAATTTGGACATGGTCAATAATAGAACATGACTTATAAAAAAAATAAAAATCATTTCCTATTAAATCTCAACCAGCAATGATAGTTTATGTACGTAATTTATCCTTACATATTTCTAAAGATATTATTTCGTGAGCTCATAACTAAAAAAAATTATATAGTGTGAAAAGAAAATAATTGAGTGGAATATTATTCTTGTACCTTTATAGTTTTCAAGCGAAAACAGCTTCGGTTTAATCTGAAAAGGGTATAAAGATTTTTGGGAAGGGGTGTCATTTTCTTTTGGGGGAAGTGATAAGACGTAGTTAAATATATTCCACCACCCAGAGGTCACGCAAATAGACAACAAAGTCGACCTCACTAGCAGCTAGCTTTCTTTCTGGCTTGACACTAAGGGACCATTGTTGCTATCATCTAAAGGAATCATTATCCTAATGCCACACAAATTTAATACCCTTTTAATTGCATTCCTTTCTGAGGAAAGAATACAAATCAACTTTATAAAATTTAGCATCATTTGTGCTTCATTTTGGAATAGATATCATAACGATGGATTGCATTATTATTGCTATGGTATCATTGAGTTGTGCATGATGCTTTCACACACCCTAAATGTATCAAATATGATCAATGAATTATGCGAATATTCAAAAAAAGAAAAGGGAAACAAATAATGTACCCAAAATTAAGAAGAAAAAATTTCACCGAAAAAAAAAGAGGAAAAAAAAAAAACCATGGCCTTCAGGTATTTTGTCAAATTAAAAGTGCTTTACATCTACTAAATAAGGGTATACCCCATTTTAATCATATTATTTAATTCTCCAAATAATTTTGACACTAAATTAGTCCCTCCTCAAATTCGTTTTTTTATTTTTTTATTTTGTATACGTGTTATAAGATTAAGAAACTAAAGTAACATCGTGCTTCAAATAATTAATATCAAATTTATATGATTAAAGAACTAAATTGATACTTTTTTATGATTTATGAACATAATTTTTTTCAAAAGTTAAATTAATATCAAATTTTATAATTGAAGGACTAAATTAATTTTAACTTCCTTTAAGAGAAGCAAAACGATGTTAGTTGCATATCTAACATTGTTGATTTTTCAAATTAACTGTTATAATTTTGTAGTTTATCATTTATAATAAACAAATTTATTTTAAAAGAGCCAAATTTTTACTTTTAAATTATCTTATTGAGATGAAAAATTCAAGGACTCTGTAATTATTTACATTGTAGACTTATATAATATTGTCTTTATCATGTAAATCAATTGAGGGACTCAATGGGCATCTTTTTGCCCAGGTAGTGTTGCTTTGTTTCCTTTTTCTTATTCTCAAAAAAATAAAACATATGTCACTATTTAACTATAAAGCAAAAGAAAAAATGAAGAAAAAGTTTGAGAGGTGGAGTGGTTCTGAGTTCTGACCATGAGGAGAAAGAACTATTTAGTTTTTGACTCCTTGCATTTAAGTTGATAATTGAGGGTATCAAATAGAGTGTTCCTTTTTTTTTCCGGTAGACAATAGAGTGTTCCTTTTCATGGATGGAACTTGCTGAAAAGAAAAGAATGAACATCTTGATTGATGAGTTCGTAGCGAGCCAACTACAAAAACCATGCAAATGATAATATATGGGAAATTAAACCAATCAATTAGCATCAAGTCAAATTTGGCACTGACCCACCACCACAGAGCATGTAGGTTCTTCTTCCTTAAGAAAACTGTTTAGGTTAGGCTTCTCTTGCCTTTGGCAACATGGAATATATGGTTATATAAAAATAAATATAATCGTTCAACCAACATAATTATTTAATAATAAAATTAATTGGTAATAACATGTTACCAAAAAAAAAAAATTGATAGTAATAGTAACATTAATAGTTGGTTGTTACAATATTTTTCCTATATATATATATATGGAAAAACATTTCTTAAGCAGCTTGAGATAAATTTATCTCCGGCCACCTCAAAACTACGTCATTTTATTTATTTATTTCCTTATATTAATTGATTTACCTATGAATGATTATGATTTCCTTTTTCTCTCTTTTCCTTTATCATCATTGATCTATCTTTGTACAATTATGATTTAGTAGCTGTAGATAAAATTTTTACAAGCAGCTTGAGAAACGATAAGCTCATTCATATATATATATATATATATATCATTTTATATTGATATAAATTATATTTTCAATCTTTATTATTATTTCATTTTTATATATAACGACTCAAATTTATTAATTATATGAGTTATTATTGAATATTAATGGATCAACTATTAACAATAAACATAAGATTTTTTATTTTTATATCAGTGTAAGTTAATTTAGCCATACAACAATCTGGATAAGTTGATGCTCTCCCTGTATGTGTATATCTATATAAATTGGCAATCATAAAAGTTGTACTATACCTTCCAATTATTTGCAAAAAATCTGAAATGAAGATGTTAAAAAAGAAATAGGTAGAAACTGCACTAAGGAAGCCCTCAAAAGAGAAGTACATAATATCAATCATCAAAGAGAAAGTAGGTGGCAGTGGCAAGGGCAGGTACACAATGTGCCCAACAATTATCCAACTAAGCTTTTAGATTGGATTTAGCTGTATAGAGCATTTTGTGATAAAAAAAATGGTGTCAGCTAGACCCAAGATCATAGCAGATATGATAAGTGGAGGATCATTATTCTCCTCCATTATAATTATGATTATAAGCATATAACTGTGATCATGTGGCCTCAATCAATGCCAAGTGGGCTTGATGGCCCAGTGCCAGTTATGAGCCTATGTGAACGTTATGACTAGCTCCAGCTCCAAAACGTGCGAAAGAAGGAAGTGACCAATTAGTATATTCCAAAAGAATCATCAAACGTTCGAATTTCAAATGTGCGTGTAAGCACTAGTAAATTGACTAAGTTCCAAGTGCACACAGAATAAATAATGGTCAAACATTTTCAAGTCTTCAATTCCATTACCAAGTCTTCAAATTGGTGAACCATTCCAAACCCAAAGAAAGGTTCATGAACCTTCCACATACTTTCAACCCTTTGCATATAAATCTCCAATTCCAAAAGCTCTTTCAAACAAACCCAAAACCAAGGCTTTAGGAAAACAAACTTAGTTTCCTATTTTCCCTTCATTTTCATTAGCTCAACTTGAGAAAAAAAAATGCAGGGTACCCTTCAGCTGCAAAACAAAGAAATTTCTAAGCTTCCACCAAAGATGTCAAATTTCGGGCACAAGATGGGTGAGATCAGTGTCGGTCACAAAGGTGGTTACTTGGCCATGGTTCCTCGGTCCCGACCGGTCTGCACGTGCTTGAACCGGCCCGGTTCGGTTCGGTGTGCTCGTCATGGGTACTTAGTGCCAGGGGAGAGGTTGAAGAAGCGTGTGGCAAGCAAAGAGATCCTTAGAAGGGCACTAACGCCACCACCAAAACGTTTAGGCCTTAGATGGTTGAATTTCAGACCAACCCCAAGCAGGCTCTCTAACATGTCCATGGCTTGATTTTCTCCTTTTATTTTTTGTATTTAGCCTTTTTATTTTTATTTTTTAATCTTTTGATGTTTGTACAATTGAGTTTAACATTCCACTGAAATTAGATGATTCTATATTCTTTGTAGAAGTTTCACTTTTAATGTGACATTTTCTTTTAATATAGCTAGTGGATTTTATATAAACCAATT